GTTTATCACCAGCTTCAGACTAAGGTAGTTGTGCCAGCTGATGAGATTACTGAAGTTTACGTCAGGAGATTCCGTCAAGGCTATCTAATTCCTCCTACTGTCTGCGTATCCTGATGTATTTTGCCAACAATTCCATTGGTGCAGTCAGGGGATCCCCAGTGAGTGGGATCAGCCAAGCCCTCATAGATATGGTCTTCAGCCCATTCTGCTCTGGGAAGTGGGAGAGTCTGTTTTTTTCAAGCTGGCCTCTCCCTGCATACCCCCCAGTCCATGAGGCTGATCACCTGGATCTGCTTGAACACTGAGGGTGGCTGTTTGCTGTGATGGCTGTCCTTGTTCCCATCAGCTGTTGTTTGGTGTTAGAGATTTGAATCCAACAACAGTCCTGGATCATCGAATAGCAGGATGATCCACTAAAAAAATGCCTACAACCTAAAAGAATATAGTTGTCTTGGATGCAGAATATGGGCTTTACGCAGCTCTAGACAATGTATGTTATTTGATGTACAGGAAAAGCTACATTTATTAAAAAAAAAATACATGAAGACAGAAAAGACCACACATCTCAGAGAAAGGAAGACTGGGACGAAGTCTACAGTGAGCAGGCAAGAGGGGGAATGATGCACAGGAAGCTCCCTTATGTGTGAAACACAGGGACTCATTTAAATAGCATAGATGAGAAACAGATACTGTACAAGGACGGTGTGTGAAGACTCCTCCCCTCCTCTCTCTCTCACCGTTTGCCCTAGTGGTCAAATAGGCTCATGGGTGCAAAGAGATGATGCAATCCCCAACATTCAGGCTGCTTGGAACACAGGTTGAATCCTGTTCTGGAATAACACTGGACCCAAAAGGAGCCTGACTGCCAGCTGATATTATGTAATGGTATGTGGGAATGACCTCCTGAGGCAGGGCAAAGAGATGCTGCCTCGGGAACAGTCTGATAAGAGGGAGCATAGCCCACAGCTGCATAGTGGGTGGGGCAAGAGGCTCCGAAGAGACCCTCCCTAATTTCTCGGGGGTAAAGAAGCCAGCAAGAGAACTGTACTTTCAAACTTGCAAGTTTCTGTTAATGTAGCCTTACAAGAAAGTAGAATTAGCTCATCTGGTTGTGTTTCCTGTCTGGTCTACCTGGAAAGGCTGGCATATTAGTTGACAGTCAGGTTCCCTCTGAGTGCATCTGCACAAAACACTTGCATAAAATCAGAGCAAGTGACAGATGGCCAATCTAGCCAACTTTCTAAACTCACCGCTTCTGACAGCCCATATAAAGGAGCGGGATTAGAGGATGTTTTCCTACCTGTTGCTGATGTTCCCTAGAAGAGGAGGAAACAAAGCCAGGGAAACTGACAGTCTGTGTCCTCCGTGTGTCCTACTGTATGCTGGAAACTGGAACAGCACTGTTTGCTGACATGATACCTATTGGTGG